GCGTTTTTCTCGGAAACTATTTACCTTACGCAAAAAATGAGCGTTTATATGGTTTTAGCTAGCACCTAATCCTATATTTACATTTTTAACTTACGCCTAAATGTAATGATGGAGCAAATCCATTTCTCAAAATCGGCTTAGATTGTGCCATCGAAACGTAGCGAACGTTTCGGTAAGTGGTCACTGGACAGGCGCAACCCATAGTTTTTCACTCGCAAATTTTAAGGTTCAACAGACGTTAAATACTTATCGAAGTCCTGACAATTCTGATTGTTTCCGTTTTCACCACTTAGTGATCAGACACGGTGACACTGTACACTCAGCACGTTCTCTATTTGACGTGAAAACTAAAAGGGCTTTCTAACGATCCGGGCCGATGTGCCGACAAAGCCAAACACTTCACTCATTTCTCTGCGCATTCTGCATACAAAACTGCGTCTGCCCAAAGGTGCGAGCTTGTTGAGTACCGACCTCTGGAAACAAATCTCACTTTTATGGTAATGGGCTCAAGGACTGTGAATATTTATGACCGGGTGCGGACATAAATTATGCGCGCAGTCATGTCACTGCCATAACTCAATGGATGCACTAGCAACAGGCACTGACACTCAAAAAGCACCTGAAGAGTAAATAGGTATGCGAGAATTACTTTTTTACAGCAAAGCGAATAAGATGCTCAAGCTGGTGTTAGGCGTTCGGCCTATAGATAGCTCTAAATATTGGCGCAAGTGGACGTGGTGAAAGCAGATGAAGGGAAGGGGCATTTTCAGCCGTGGAACATTGTGAATAAAACATGTTACGTAAGTTGTGAAAATATCAGTCGCTAATGAAAATCCGTAACAAAATGCATTAGCGAAATATCCTGTTGGAATATAATAGCCATAATCAAGCATAAGCAATGAAAGCTTTATATAATATATATAAAATTTTGTTTCATCATTTAAACTGACATGAGCTTTATAATGAGTAGTACTCGTATGGCGCACTTTGATTATGTAAAAGCAGCAGTAATTGATCCATTCATCCCTGCGTCCAGTCTCGGGCACCGGTCACTGTCCGTGTCCCACCTGATGAACGGTCTTGTCAGCGCCACGATGGTGCGCAGCCAGAAGGACGGGTGTACCAGGTACAGGCCCTTGAGCGTCTTCCTGAGCCTGCGATCCACCAGCTGGTAGGCCCTCCGCAGCCAGGAGAAGGTGGGCGAGCTGGCGGCACTGGCGCCCCCGTGCAGGTACACCAGCACGTACTCCTCTGACACCAACTCGTCCAGGGTGGTCAGCACGTACCTGCAGGGGGACGGCAGGCGCTGGGTCAGTATGGATGGTTCATGAGTGATTTAGGGAGTCATGTTTGCCTTGTGACTGGGTTCTCGAGCTGAATGAAGTACGGTATATAAATGCGCCGATAGATTGTCTAGTCTAGTGTTTATGGCTGCGGGCTCAACGATCACTGCTATATGAAACAAGGCATTATTGTGCTAATGCCAAGCGAAAGCGGGTGTGAGCAGCCTCGGTCGGATAGCCTGCGAACGTGGCGCCGCCGCGTCACCTTAACTAGGCCGCTACCTGGTGTCACCTGCGCCACCTGTCTGGTGCACCGTACACGAGTCTCTGTTACTGTCCACACCAGCCTCGGTGGCGCTTCGGTCGGATAGATATCGGCATACCTGGTCTAACTTAATGAGAACAAGGTGCAATGACTACGTTAAAAATTTACTAAAATGGAAAACATCGCTCACTTGCTGCACCACGTAATGAACTGTCGAAAACGTAACTTTGATTCCAGACATTGCAGTCGAACCAAAAATAGCGCCATAGTTCATAAAGACTCGCTAGTTCCTGAGCTGAAGGCCTCACTGTGTATGCTAACTAGTACTCAGCACTCACAGAAACAGGTTGTCCATGACGTATCCGTAGTCCGGCCTGCTCCTCTCCGGCAGATGACAGGCGGCGAACACGATGATGCTCTGACCGGCGTCACCCTCCATGTATCCTCCGTGAGACAGCACCTGGTCAAAGTGAGAGGAGGAGGAGAAAGTGAGAAGACAACACGGCGGGGTGAACCGACACGAAACAGCTCACTCTTTTGGTACATATAGCCTCATAGCAACGCAAATTTGGAACAGCGACGTCCACAGGCACAGACCAGTAGACATTATCTGGAAACTGCAAAATAATGACGTTTATTTGCAGAACAATTAAATCCCGTTCTAGGATTTGGAAACCCCTGTTCGAAAATGGACCATCACGCAATGTCTACCTTGGTGTATGGCTCGATGATGCTCATGTCAATCTTCTGCTCCTTCCCAGCCACCACGCACGTCCTCCAGTCTCCCTGCCCGATCGTCTCGTCGTACTCCAGCTCGGCGCCGTCCTCAAACTGATCTGCAAACATGGTATTCGGACTGTTATATCAAAAGAGAAATTCCAAAATTCGTCTTAGGATATGCTTCTAAATCTACAATGCATGTTGTTTTCTGCACAGCATAAACCTAACTTTATCACGTCACATGACTGAATGCTGCAATGCTTACCATCCTGCTCCTCGTCGGCAGCCAAGGTCTCCGGTGTGACGCGTCCCTTCTCCAGCTGCACCTCACCATTGCCCAAGTCTACATCCCGCGGGACAGACCCATTTCGGGACGCTGGGAACGTAACAGCCATATAGTCATGACGGGTGAACGGTGAATATCAGAATCACTATGTCCAAGCTACAAGCAAATTAAAGGAAGTCTTATAATAGTGACGGGGGTGCGTTATAGGGCATCAAGCTGTAAATCTCGTAAACGGTACAACGACACGTTTTTTTTTTAGCTGAAAGGTAAAATCGGTAGCCATGACCATGACAATTTTATGTAAAGTAATTTCAGATGACATTGCTCACCTGTGCGTGGCTCCGGAGTCGGAGTGCTCGTGGGGCGGATCGCCATGTCCTCTGGTGGAGTACCGAACGCCGAAGACTCGGGACGCTCGGCTGCGCCCGCGTCCAGCAGGCTCGAGACATCAGTCATCAGGACGCGGCCTTTCTCTGCCTCTAACATTGTCATCCGTGTGGTCACGGCAACAACGTCTTCGTCAGTCTCCGGACGCTTCTCTGACGGATTGTCCATTGATGATGAGGCGTCTGGATTGTGCTTTTCTTCTCGATAGTCTGTCACGGACCGTTTGACGTCTACCGGCTGGTGTACCGTTTCTTGTCGATGTGAGCCCGTATCCTGGTCCGCAGGACGTAGCCTGAACTCCTCATAGTACTCATTATCGCTGTTCCATCCTTCCGAGGGGTTGTCACCCGGGACGATTTGCCCGCTCCATGGAGGTGCAATCGATTGATCCAATGAGAAGGAATGCTCTTCGGGCACTGACTGATTCTCCATGTCACGCTTGACGACATGACTCGTGTCGCCAGATACCATGGTACTGTCAAAGTTTTCTGTGCTTTGTTTTTCGCTTTGCTCGTCAAAGTCTGACGATAGGGTTTGTTTGGACACATCGTTAGCCCTGAGCAACGCTTCTATGTTGTTGTCTGACTTATCAGTGGGTATATCGGCAGGCTTATCAGTGCTAGTTTCGTTGGTATGTGCAAGCTCTGTTTCTGTGACGAGTGTGCCATCTACTGGCTCTTCGTTTTGGCTTTCAGCAGCACGTTCACCTGCATTCAGCTCTGGTGTCGACTCATTTGCCTCGGGGTCTTGATTTTCAACATGTGCTTTGATTTGGGATGGTATTACGTCATCGAAGTCGTAAGAAGACATCTTGCTAGACATTTCTACCTCTGCAGGGCACTCGTCATCATTAGATATGGACACTTTTTCATCAACACCATCAGTGTTTGTGGGACGTTCCTCATGCAAAGGCGATCCAAAGTGAGATTCGTTAGATGTTTCCTTTGACGATTCGTCCAAAGATTCTACCATCTCACTCAAACTTGCATCACGAGTCGGTTCTAAAGAGAGTGTCCCTTCAACAGATGCCAGAACAGCGGTTTCCTGCACTTCAGGAAGAACTGATTCAGGTTCTTGAATATTTTCTTCTAGTTCGTCAGCCTGTACTGAGTCGTACTTCTTCTCTGAACTGCTTGCAAAAGGGTGAACGGGAGCATTTTGTAATAGACTAGGGGTTGTATGTTCACTGATCAGTTCCCCATCTCCTGTATCAAGTGAAAGCACATCAGAGTGCTGACCAAGAGCGTTCTCTGTTGCCACAGGAGCTGTCTCCACTTGGTTGAACGTGTTTGCAGAAATCGTCTCTGCATCAAACCCGTTGCTCGATCCTAGCTCATCTTCGTCTACATCTGTATCCTCTCGGATGTCCTGGTCAACCGAAAGTTTATCTTGCTGGTCGTCTTGAACGCTTCCGCCGATGGCTGGTGGCAACTGCTGTTCTGAGTTCATCATTAACGTTCTCAAATCATCGAGCTCCGTTTGAAGAGATTCATTGTGCATCGGTTCTTTCCGTCTTTCTTGGGCAAAATCATCACTTTCCTCAAAACCTGGCTCCGCGGATACCACTTCATGGCCAATAGTTTCGAAGTAAATGTCACTTCCCGACTCCTTTTCTGTATGTGGTGTATTGACTACCTCCTGGCTTCCCATGATAGGACTTAGATCGGTAGATGCAGTGGCTGGTTCCCCGGTGCCATCCAAAACAATGCCCACATTTGAAGCTTCAACGAGAGCTTCCACTTCATCTTGTAAAGAACTGTGCATGCCGTCAAGATCACTTTGGACATTGAACTCTTTTACATCGATGTGGCCAGGAGATTGCTGTGATTGCTCTATGTCCTTCTTTTCGTCCAGCGTTTGATGTTCTGAGATGATTGAAGGACTTCGTACAGGGTCGTGGTCAGCTTCGTGCTTTGAATAACCTTCATCCATCAGCTCTGTCCTAAGAACTACATTGCCAGGTTCCTCCATGTTCTGCCCCATTGCCGAAGAATAACAATCACTATCTTGCTGGAAGGCATTCAGATCTTTGATACGCTGAGCTGATTCATTCAAATACTCAAATCCTTCATCATGTAACACAGCAGCATCACTGATTTCAAAGTTGCCGTCCATTTCTAATCCGTTGGTAGCATTTTGGGGCACATCTCGGTTCAAGGCCTCTGACTCTGAAAGATTCTCTCGCTCTTGTCCTGACAAATGATCAAGACCTGGACGTAGAGCATCAACCTCTGCATGGCTGTTGATATCCAGAGTCACTTCTGGCGCTCTGTAGTTCTCCAAATCATGCTCTTGTATGTCAATCTCATCTGATGACGCAGCAGATTTGTCTTTGCTTTTCTCCAAGGACGAATTTTCGTAGTTTTGTGTAGATGCATTGCCGAAATCGGTCAGATAGAGATGATCGGCATCGCCGGGAATCGCGGAATGCACAATAGTCGCAGTTGCTTGTTCTATTGCACTCTCTTTTGAGAGGTTGTCCATAGTGGGACCATCCACATTTGTTCTTGTCTCTGCCATAACAGCCCTGACATCTTGTTCGATAGTCGCCGTGTCTTCAAGGGAAGTACGTCGGTTGTTCATGCTGTCAAGGCATTCCATTTCATTTTCAGAGCACACGGTATCATCCAGCTGGTGTGATTGATTGTGGTGTGACGTATCGACACCTGTCGCGGCTTCGGTCTCTTCCTTAACTGCACCGGATACGTAAGGATGTTGATTTTCCTCTAGGTTGAGGGAAATATCATCATGAGGCATAGGGTTCTTCTGCTCATATCCACTGTCATGTTCTGCGATAAGTTTCATTGTGTCGCTATCACGAGCCAGCGAATCTCGCTCAATCGCATGCTGTTCTTCCTCTTTATACATTTCTGTTGAGCAAGTTTCGCTACTTCTTTGCCCGACGGCTTCATCAGGCGCCTGGCTCTTGCTGATGACCTCAGTGTCATCAAAATTCACTTCTGCTTCAGACGCCTCTAAAAGAGGAGGCTCATTCAACACCTCTTCAGAATTGATCTCGTGTTCTGAGCCTACTTGTTGAACTTCCATGACATTATCAATTGTTTGATGTGAATCATGATCTGTTGATGTCTCGTTATCTGCCTCGCCATTGTTTCGTCGGGAGGAGATGTTGTCGACTGCGAGTGACTTTGATGCCACGTCGCGGCTTGAGCCCTCACTTGTGGGTTCATCATCCTGCTGTGCGCTGCCATGCATCTCCTCAGCATTTGAGCTCAATGATAGAGGATCAAGAACAACATCCGGCATAGAGCTATCGAAATCGTGAATATCTTTGTCGTCTCTTGTGCTATCTGAAAACTGAAAATCAGTTGGCTGGATGATATCTACCGTTTCGGGACGGGGTCGTTGTTCTGTGAAATCCAGAACATCTGGTAACGTTTCGAAACGTCCTGGTTCACCGACCTTGCCAACTGCAAGCTCATCATCATAGCTATGGGCGACGAGCAGGGGAGCAGCAGCATCTAATCCTGCACTTGCGTGTTGACCTTCTTGGCCGACTTGATTTTCCTGCGCGTCGCTTGCCAAGTTTTCATCGGCGCTTTGACTTTGGCTTTCTAACAATAAGTCAACCGGCTCTTGCTCCTGCCTGTCATCTGTCAAACTATTTGCAGTAGCTTCGAAGTCATTCACAGGAGAGACAGTACTCGGCATCCCAACACATGCAGCTGCCTCTACCAGCTCGCCACCTCGATGATCTGAAAGTGGATTGGACAGCATGTCGTTCTGCTCCGTGAGAGGTTCACCGCCCGCGAGTAGTCCAGATGCGCTGCTGCTTTCGTCGCCTCCTACCGCAGTTTCCAGTTGTCCAATGGCTACTTGCGATTCATCGCACTGTCCAGGTTCTGAGTGAGACGCTTTGGAGGGCTGCACCTCGTTCGCCTGATTTCCGTTGTCGATCGAGACCTTTGGAGCTAACAGGGTTTCATCTCCAAGCATTTCATCGCTGCCCATCATCCCGGCACCACCAGTTAGAGGGTGAGAAGTTGCGGCGTCATCTTCCGAGCTGGTGCTTGCGCCTAAAGCTACCTCGCTCTTTGGTGTGGTGCTGCTCGCCACAAAAGGGCCTGACTCAGCATCAGGTTCATCGACATTCGAAGTACTTTCATCATGAGGCATGGTGCTCGCTTCACTGAGAGAGGTTATGTTGACAGCATCGTGTTCATCCATCAGCAAGTTATCAAGCAGTTCCTGCTGCTCTACCGAATCCGTGTCACCACCTTGTGTCTCATCCATAGCTTCACTGCTTATCGCATGATCAATTTCTTCCGCGATATCACCATCGTGTTTGAGAGAACCTTCTGTCAGGCGGCTGCTTTCAAGAGTGGTGTCTTTCTCACCATCAAAATGTATCTCATCCTGAAATACATCTTCAGTTGAATAGACTTTTGGATCACTCACTCTCATATTTACTGAAGCGTCGTCCTCAACTTTCATGGTAGTATCATCTGGGCAGATGGTCTGCTTTTCAGCTTCCGGTTGGATCATATGGCCTTCACTTTCCTCTGAGACGATTCGGTCTTCTACTTCTTCAGCACATGCAGAGTCATGCAAACTTGTATTGCCTTTAATATCCTGTTCATCATTGTCATTGTGTGTCACACTGACTTCCTCAGCAGCGACCCTGTCTGGGATCGAACTTTTCGAAAAATGCTCGGTCGTATCATGCTCATTTGGCGCATCTTCTTCATGACTAAGCTCAAGACGTTCAAAACTAGCAGGCAGCGTTTCAGAAAGCGCGTCTTTGGCGCCTTTATGTACGCGATGCGGTAAGTTTTCCTTAGTGAAGCCAAGCATAGCTGGCCCAGTATTCTCTTCAGGCTGAAACTCACTTCTATTAGTTGAGGGTTCCTTCTTTGTTAGATCTTGATCACTGAGAGTGAGTTCATTTTCTGGTTTAGATGGTTCGTGAAAAGCAAATGGTGACTCATCAATGTTTTCTTCTGTTGACTTGCGATGAATTCCCTCGCTATCATCTTTCGTCAGTTTTTCTTGATAGTCTTCAACTCCTGTGCTTTCTTCAGAACTTCTGGTTTTGTCAGAGATAATCTCGTCATCGCCATCAACGACTATGTTCTCGTGTACAGCAGTCACATCGCTTGTCGTCGTAGGGTCTGCAAGTACGGCGTTTTGGGGCACTGCTGTTTGTGACATGGGCGAATCAGCGTCTGCTTGCGTATTTCGCTGATGCTTTTGCTCACCAATGTCTCCATTCGCAAGAATGTCTTCAACATGCGATTGGTCTGCCTCTCCACTGTCACTGTCAGAATCTAAATTAATGTGTGGTGGCTCTGCTGCCTCGACCTGCTCTGCATCTTCTTCCGATAGTGTATGCTCTGGTTCGGACTTTCTTTCGAGACCACTCTGATCCACAAGCAACTCATTGTCATTGTCATCATTGTCATCACCAGCTCTTTCAATCTCGATTCTTGGAACAGTCGCAGTGACCCCATCCATGTGTTTGTGTTCGAATGCTTCGCTAATACGCTCTTCTGCGAGTTCTTCGGAGTCTTTGCGATGCGAGTCTCTGCTATCTATATTCAACTGTTTCTCACTAGCAGAGTCATTTTTACTTATACTGTCATCAGTCTGCCTGGGTTCCTCAATGCGCTCTTCCTTCTCCCGAGAAGAGTTGCCAACATCACCTACTTCACCAGCATAACGGTCGAGGGTTTCCACAAGTCCTGTTTGCTCATGATCAGCGCGTTGGTCTTTGGGAGAAGTAAGATCTTGTGACTGTGCATGGCCTTCATCAAGTAGTTTTTGATCAAAATTGTCAAAAATAGCGTCCGTAATGACTGCTGATATGTTGCCTTCAGACAGGTCTGTTCCCGAAGGCTCTTGGCTTTTTAGTTCTTCAAGCATGTCATCGGGCTCCTGGTGAAGTGGCGCATCATTCACCAGTTTCGGTGATTGTTTGTCCTCCTTTTGTTTGAAATTCTCGTTACCAGGCTTCTCTTTAGCTGCAAGAGGTAATTCATGTCCACTCTCAGCCACAGCATCAGCGTCGCTTGGCTTTTCATCAATATCTAAGTCAGCTACCGCGGTCTTTGACGTGTCATTGTCGGAACTGAAGTGCAGTGGTTCAGCAAAAAGCTCGGCCTGTTCCGCTGACCGTTGCATGTCCATTTCAGTCGCGATGCCTGATGAGATGTCCACATCAGAATGCGCCATGGAATGATCAACCGTGGGCTTTCCTTCACTCATAATGGTTGAACTCTGTATACCTTCCTCCCGGCTACTCACATCATCCAGCTTCACATCGACTTCAGGTTGGAGGCTGTTGGAATGCATATCACTGGCTGAAAGAGCGGCCGTTTCCTTGGCTTCATCCAAGAATAGCTTTTCTCCTTTGTCAATGCTACCTGCTGATCTCAGAGCATCCGCGTTTGGATGAGACTTGCCTTGGTCTTGGAGTTCGTCTATCGGCTCTTTCACTGTGAACCGCTCTAAGCCATCAGTTGACGGCAGATCTTTATCATGGGAATTTTCTGTCTCTGCATGTTTAGACCCTTGGGTGATGGTGTCAATGTTGTCACGGCTTACTGGCTCCCCCTCTTGCAACGACATTGCTTCACTTTGCCACAATTCTCTGACCGAGTCACGATCATCAGCAAAGTCAGTCATCCCTTCATAGTTTTCAGAAGAAGTATTCCGGTGAATTTCCCCTTCTACCACATCTGTATTTCCGTTGATGACGCCTCTTTCATTTTCATTTTGATTATGATGTTCCAATCCAGAATCGGCCTCTTCCAAATGCACGACAGCTTCGGCATCTGTTTGAGCCCCTTCCTCGCTTCCTTTGTCTTCTGGAAGTTCAGTATCTTCGTTGGGCGCACTTTGAGGATCTTCTGTATCAGCATAAGCCATAATGTCATTGACGCTCGACTCATTTCGCTCTGTATCAGTGGCAGTTTGGTCTTCAGCGGCACCATCAAATGCCATTGGCACTACTGACTTCAATGGCTCTGATTGGGGATGCTCGCTTGTGTCATCTTGCACGCTGCTTTCCTCTCCGACATTTGTCAGGTCAACATCTTTCTGTTGGGTTTGTTTTAGTTCTTCTTCGTCCCATGCATTGCTCAGTTGCAAAACATGTTCCGGATCTTGTAGAACGTGCTCCTTTGCACCTTCTGCATGCAATGATTCCATATCCATCGTTGTAGATGTTGCCCCTCCATTCATACCTGTCAAGCTATCTTCTTGTAGTCTCGCTGGGGAGCTGCTGTACTTTTCATCATCGTTGACGTCTTGCATAAAGTTCAGTTCATTCACCTGTATTGCGTCCTCATGACGTTTTTCTGCAGCAAAGCCGAACTCTTTTCCATTATATGCTTCTGTCAGTGACGATTCTGCTCCGGTTTGACCTTCTTTGTCCTCAGTATCAATCGTATTCTCGAGAGAAAACGAGTAACCATGGTCATCGCGTTTTTCGTGACTGCTGCTGCTTTCCGTAGAGCTGGAAGCCTTTTCTTCTGCACCTGAAACTTCCCGAAAGCTTGCCTCATTTTGCGCCGTCTTCGATCCCTCCAGGCTCACACCAACACTACCAACCAGAGTGTCACCCTTGGTCACGACATCTAAATCTTTGTTGATATCTTTTTCCTTGAAATCGAATAATGGTACATTTGTGCTGCCACTGGAAGCAGCAGGCGAATGTATGAGGACTTCCGAGGCTGAAACCGGCTGGTCAGAGTTGTGGGGGCCAGTTGCAGATTGAGAGCCACGTCGTTCCGTTGCCTGCTCGCTGGCCACGCCATCTTTTTCATTAGTGGGAAGGGGTTCGGCTGAGAGGTCACTACAGTTTGGTGAAGCTGCAGCACTTTCCCTGGCGTGTAACGATGATTCGGTTTCAGACTGTTCACTTGGGACAGGCAACGTAGCCAGTGGCAAATTTCCGTCGGCAGTGTCACCCATTGAAGCGCTAACCAGGGGCTCTCCGACGGTGCTAAGATTTTCAGCATCACTGTCTTTTTCGATTACATCTAGACTGGTAGTTTGGTTGTGGACGTCTTTCACTTCACTTTCGCCTTTTGCATCACCTAAATGAATATCACTGTCAAGTGTCTGGTTTTTTGCATCCTCTTCGCGCACGTAGTCTGTTTCTGATACACCAGCGGTACCTGCAAGACTGACAGCTGCTTTAGCGGCTTCAACATCATTGCCCATGAAAGGGTTTGTAAGTGATCGATGATCCGTGAGCTCAGCGGCATGTTGGTTGTTTAAGCTCTCACTTAGCTGACCGTCCGTTTCCTGTTGTTCATCTTCCTGTTGTTTGAAATAGAACGGAGCGCTAGACGATGTCATGTCAACCCCTTCTGATATGTCTGATGACGCGTTTGCATTGCGGTCTTTTGTCAATTCTGCATCATTACCAAAGTTCCCTGACGTAAAAGGGTTGGTTATTGACAGTTCTGCAGATGAATTCAGCACATGACTATCTTTGTCTGCTGCTTCGTTTGGTGTAGAGTCTTTCGTATCCAAATCAAAGTCCACAAGCCCGCGGTAATCACCGCTGTTTGACGTTGGAGTAGCCTCCGACTCATGTGATGCGATCAAATCAGCTTCGTCTCCTTGGTTTTCCATGCTCACATCAGTCTTGCCGAATACATCTCCCAAGGAAAACGGGTTTGTGCTATGCGTTTCAGGCATGGCTAAGTCGATATCGTTGAGATCAATTTTGTCGTCTTCCTCGCCACTGTTTTGGTTGGTTAGCTGCGGTTGTGACATACCCATCTCCTCGGAAAATAACTTCTGCTGGTCATTGCTGTTTTCAGTCGATATCGAGGAGAGGAAGTTGTCTCGGTCATTGCGGGGATTGTCAGATGGTTCTTTGGATTTTGGAATGTTGAGGTGACCCAAGTCCATGAAAGGGTTGCTGTCCTGAAAGCGGCTGCTCAATGCTTCAACGTGCTCCCTGTTTGCGTTCAAGGTGTCAGAGTCAGCGTCATCCTGCACCTGGGTAGAGAATAAATCGCCTCCCCGATATTCTGGGATTTCGTTGCCCAGAAACGCATCCTGGAAACCGTTGTCGAGCTCCTTTTTCCCGAAAGAAATCTGGACATCTTTTAAATCTTCACTGAGGTCGGATAAAAGCTCGTCGTTTTCTTTCCCAACTGGTATGTTGCCGTTTGTAGGCGAGAAGAGATTGTTATGCTCAGAGTCAGTATGTCCCTCTCCATGCTGACTACTTTGGTTCGCGGTCAACTGTTTACTGTTCTGAGCCGTAGCTGGCAGAACTGAACTGAACCCCGAGTCCGCGGTCCCACCGGAATCCATCTCGGCGACAAATGGGTGATCAATCTTGCAGCTGTATCATGGATGGGCGCTCTCGAAGACAGCTACGGTTTGGGACATGTGCCTTCCCTGTAAAAGAAGGAGACACAAGTTAAACTCACTGTAAGTTTCATGGCTGTCAATAATAGTGTAAGAAAAAAAGGTTCTGACTTAAGGGGAAATGGAGGGGGGGGGGCGTGATAAAACAACCACTCACATGTGCCACTAGGTCGCCCTAATAAGATGTCCATTGGTCAGCATCCGTACGACATCCAAAGCAGTCGTTATTCCCGTCATAGTTTCTTCTTTACCAATGAATGCGGAAGACGATTGTCCTCACAATGATGAGCTGAGTCGCTTGGTTCGTGTGGTTGTTTTGTTTTGTGGGTGACCCGCTTCCGTTCGCCCACGTAATTTGAGAGCACGCGAAGGCCGCCTCATTCGGTAATGGCGTCCCACGAGGCTACACCTGCAGTGGAGCTCGACCTTGGGAGTGTCAACGTCCATAAAATCAGCGCTCAATGCGTTTCCATTTACACCACGAATGATCTCAAACTTTGGGTTTCTTCGACGAGGGTTTCTTCGACGAGGCACTATACCTGAGACTGGCGCAAGCTGCTCCACAGCATCGTATGTGCTTTAATCTAACCCAGGATACTTATTTGAGCACACGAAACAGTTAAGGATTTACACGTGTAAAATGACACAGGTGGCTCTCTGAAAACAAAAAGAGAGCCTATAATTGACCAAAAATTCGAAAAGAGGATGACCCATTTATTCTTTCGTTATATTATACCCCTCTTTTTCATGACACCAAAAATTGTCTTCATCACAAGCATTTGAAGACACACAGCTTACATTATTTGTTTGGCGACGGAATATTTCTCCTAGCTTACTGAGCTCGTCTTAAAGGGACCCTCCCACTTTAAAAAAGTTAATGAATTGGCATGAAAGTGATGTCGCTCGGTTCGGAAAGAGCGAAAACGAATGTCTACCAAATTTCACACAAAAATCTTCACCGGTTTTCAAGGTATTAAACATTTACTTTTGTTTACTTTTTGGGATATCCGCTGATCCTAGCGACTTTATTTGGAAGCAATAGTTTGGCAGCTGCAAGTGAGGCACTTGTTGTGCGCAAAGCAGCATATACCACCGCATGCTACCAAACGTTTTAGTAAAAGATCAAAATCGTTAGATCTGCGCTGACGTCACACATTCAGAGGGGGGCATTCAAATGCATTAGCCCCTCAGAATCCAAAGTGCTTCAACTTTGAAATTATATATTTTTTATTTGAGGCATTTCTCGATGTTGTGAGTGCTCAAACCGGTAAGTGCAAGCCAGGGACTCCATTTTGGCTATCTCAACTCAAAACTAATGTTAAGGTGGGATGGCCATTTTAATGTCGTCTATGAGATAGCATTCAGCGGCACGACATTTTCTTCCCTGCTTTCAAAAGTCCTAGTCCTCAGCTACCCGCAATACCTGCCGCTGCCAACTATACAAGGTATCACGTGCCGCTGCCCCCGCCGACGCTACTCATATGGTCTCTGCGGGGCTTCCACCGGCCCTACCCACATGGCCCGTCCCGTTCCTCCGCCCACCACCTCCCACACAGGCAGCTCGAGCCGGTCCCAAAGCCGGCTCAGCCCAGCACGACCGCCGTCCGAGGCTGGGTCCGATCAGCCTGCACAAAAAAACTTAGCCCTGCGGGGATGACTCAGAGAGATTGCTATAGGGATTCAGTCAAAGGCATACATACATATATGTAGAAAGCTCTGATGATGGATGAAAAGGCAGTTGCATCCGATTTTCATATCGATGGTGTTAACGAATTGAACCATTACGCATTAATTATCTGCATCAGAGTTGCAGCCAATTTTCCTACAAGTGTTTTATTATACAAGTATTTTACATATGTTTCCTTTGCACGTTTCATTTGCACCTCTCAGAGCAGCTGAACTGTTCAGCCCGTTCTGACGAATCAGGACCACGCTGGCTGGGATAGGCCACCGCCGCCTGTACTGTCGCTGCATGGCTGTGCACCGCCGTATATTATACCATCACAGGTGCTATACCTAATGCCGCCATACATTCAGCCCAATCGAGGCCGAACTGTGACTCAGCCGACGCTTACTGGTAAAGCGGTTTGCGAGTTAAATAAAGGGCGCTCAATTGTATTTTCCTTGGATATATGATGGTCATTTTGTGAGTCTCATCCCTATTTCCACTTCATTTTGCATCTCTACCAATCAATACCATAGTACCAGATTAGGTAAGAAGCGCGGCTACAGCCGGTGGTTCGGCTAAGCCGAAATCAATCCGCTGTCGACCGCCAGTCCCCCCCCCCCTCCTCCCCTCCCCAGCCGTGCACCTCAGCACGGCGCGGCGCAGCACGGCGAGGTACGGCGCAGCACGTCACGGTGATCGATCTGTTTGCAGTTGTGGTGAGATACCACGGTGGATTCGATGGAAACGGTCGAAGGCGTTACATGCGGGCTTGGCAGACTTTCGGGCGATTATGAAGCAAAGATGAACTTTCAACTTTGCATAAATCACGTTAGTTGTATGGCTTGCAACATCTCAAATGCCTAAATACCGGGCATTCATATGGTGTTATATTGTTGATGTTGATATGAAGGGAAAGGAGAGCTGTGATGAAGAGGCCTTACAGAAATTTATCACTCTGTTTCACCTGCATTGTTTGCCTCACGATGTTGCCACAGCGTGTGCAACATGCAACTGTGGACTCATGTTCAGCTTATGATGACCTGAGAAACATTACAGTGCAGATTCAGTCGGAGACCTCTATTGTCGTTAGTCGCAGGTCCATCCTCTCACTTATGTAACGGAAAGACCAGCCAGAATGAGCAGTAATCCAGCGGACCGCTAAACGGTGGTTATTCTAGTCCGGAATATGTAGGAGCAAACAATGACCGAACGGCCTTCAGACAACCGGTGCTCATGGTCCAGTGGCTCATTCAGAGACACGTGCTGATGGGCTGTTAAAAGTGACTTTGTATGCCAATTCATTTGCCAATTTACGGCACCTAACATGAACTAGGGAAGTCTGCTATAGTGATGGATAGATGTGGTCCTGATATTGATCTGGGATGGTGGACACGTGAAGTTAGAGCGAGCTACCTAATTGATTGTGAAAGATCGTTTTATTTTGGGCAGACTAAGATGTTACGATCAATGACCTGAAAATGACCTGAAGCATGATAAAACACAAACACCCAAGGGTTCCTTATGGTGCCATTTTCATTCATGAGCCCCTAACTACATACATAGCTTCCTAATGGCCTTGAGTGGTATTTCATTGATGCTTCCATTTTAATTCATGTTGTCATTCACGCTTTCATTGTGACGAGACTATCAATAATCAATTTCATTGGGTCCACATGCGACATGTTTTCTGGGCACGCATTAGTGAACCTGCCGCTTGCTTTATACTGCAGATTTAAAACGTGACTGTTTAATTAAACCCGTCCCCAGTGACACTGCACTGTGCACGGGCGCCCATGTTTCCCGCAGTTGCAGCGGCTCGGAGCGGCTGACCTTGGGTCGGCGTCACGCCAACGCCGAGTGACGGCCGCCTCGAGACACGGGGCCGTCACGGGCCAGGCGCGCCGCCGTCACGCCGCCTGACTCACCGTCACGTCACGCCGCGTGACGGCCGCTGACGTCACACGGAGGGGGTCGCCGGGGGGAGGGGGCGTCACCCATCGGCTGTGCCGCAGCTCAGCTTCGATTGAGGAGAGTGTGCTGTCTTGAACACCTGTAACGGCGCGACGGGGTAGCCTTGCAGCAGATAGGCGGCAGCGCTTCAGCCCACTTGATTGTCAGGACCGACGGAGCAGTAGAGATACATACTTTGAGAAAGCTCAACGAAAAACTCATGAAAAGCTAACTAAGAAGTATAGCGACCTTCACAAATCATACGACTTTGCGCTCGTATATAGCAATATTGCAAGACAGGTCTTTGACGCTGCACACGTGAATATTCTCGTATTCATGGACGCGTAAAATAGGTGAGGGTAACATGCTGATTATCAGATGTAGAATCAAAGTTATCCTTGGATGCTGAACACTTAAAATTTCGTTTTATCGAGAGGAACAACTCATAACTGAACAGCTGCTTTAAATAAATTTCACCAACACTTCGCAGAATCGCATGCATTTACGGAGAAATGCTTAAATATCTATCGCCCTGTGTCATTGCCTTTGCGACTTTGAAAACAGAACACTCTCTTTGGGGACATTCTTCCATTCATTTTGCATGCTGCTGCTCTGTACAGAATCGTTACAGCTGTTATGACTCATGGAATGTGGGTCATATCGATTACCGCGACACAGCAGACTAGGCTAACTAGAATGCATTGGCGCTCCATCGCCCTCATATGGTGATGCTAAAAAATATGTGAATTAGAAGTTCATTGGTATGCAATCTGTAATCTTTGGCTTTTCGTAAGGACGTTTAACAGCACCGTTCCGCTTCACTCACCTGTGCTGGCCACCCTGTCTCCTGTCCTCCTCCAATCCGCTGCCCTCCTTCACTCCCCTGTGCGTGCTCCACACCTCTCGATATCTCCTGGACGGTCAAACACGGCACCCTCCACCGCACCGTGCTGCACCCGCGGCGTTCCAAACACAGCTGAGCGGCCGCCGGGGTGCCCGGGCAGCCGCCACCCCCCCCCCAACCCCTCCCCCTCCCCACCACCGACGGCGGCGGCGGCGGCAGGTAGACGGGGCTGAGGTGGCGCTGGTGATTGTGGTGACGGTGGTGACGAGGCACTGTGGTGACGGCAGTGGTGATGTAGTGCAGTGACGAAGGGGACGAGTTGAACAGACTTGATGTCACTGGTGTTACCTGCGGCGAAAATCCTAGCTGTCTGTTATAACGAAAGTGAATGAAAGTGGTCATAATCTGCATAGAATGTTGACTAAGTCGTCCTTTCATATATTCTGTGATAAAGAAAAGCGAGCGTCGCGTGATTTTTACATCCCTCCTATAAGAACCTTTAACTAATTATGCAGTCACGAGTGTTTGTGGATGATTTTTCTTATGCATGAACTGTAGAAGAGACAACTTCGGCGCGCAAATTAATTTATTAACTTCCCAGTCCTTTGTAATCTCGCTTCAAACTCCTGTTGACAATTTTGCAGAGGTTTATAATGAGGTAGAAGGCTTTGGTATTGTTAATTGCTACGAAGAGTATCCTGGCTAGTGGCTTTCAGTTTAATAACAACGACATGTTTTTCAATGTTAACCTTCCAGGCGGTGGGGGGGGGGGGCATTTTTTGCCCCCCACCTTTAGTTTTTTCGATATATCTCGAGAACCGCTGCGCCGATCGTCACCAAACTTTCAGTACCCTCCCGTGAATAGCTATTGCACAATGTGACCAAAACTTTTTCCAAAGGCTGTGATAGGTTCGACGCTATTGACGTCAGAGTGACATCATTTCTGCCATTTTCGACCCAAAAAAGGGTTTCGCGAGAAGAGCTGTCAGGCCTACAGCTTTAGAGATACAGAAAAATGTCTCAGACATAAAAGGTGTAGAATTTAGAGGACTACAAAATAACTATCTCAGATTTTTGAACTTTTTGGATTTTGACCCCCAAAAATAAAAACAAATGATTTTTTTAAGGAAAAAAACGCCACGAAATCCCAAAAGTTTTTTTTTGAAGTTCGAAATAACCGGAATAAATGTGATAGTCCCTGCGGTCTTCTATCTACATACCAATTTTTAGATCGATACCTCTTTTTTGGCCAAGTTATAGCGAAAAAAAAACTGTTCAAAATTGATGACGTCAAATTTTCAAACTAAATTTTTAGCAATTTTTGACCTCGTAGCGCAAAACAAAGACCACCATTAGACTCCCCGTGACGAGCTGCATCGAATCAATACCCATTTTATGCAAAAATATCAACTTTGAAATTTTACCTTTTTTTGACCTGACCTTGACCTGACCTCCACCAGAAAGTGACCTAAACCGTACCTGATGGTCTTATAACCAACACCATTGAGTTGGAAATGAAAAAACTGGCCATAAAACATGCATCGCACAACCTTAGTAAAGTTGGGTTCATGTGGTGACCCTTGGTGACCTTTGGTGACCTGACCTGTGACCTGACCTGGTATGACCAGTGACCTCTAATAGCAACACATGTACTAGACAACTGACGTCCTATCGCTGATTTTCGACAAAATGCGTTTTACTCGGTGTTATAGCGCTTTCCCTAGAAGCCCCGTGAACGGTGAAACATTTTATCTTTGACCTGACCTGTGACGTCATCGGTGACCCCGAGGTCAATGAAATTTGGTTTCCCTCGACAAATTTGACATGGCTATCGAACGCCGTTTGAATTTTCCGTTTGAATTTTGAAGGTGGCCGGGAATGCATATTTTCACTTGCTGAGATCAAAATAACACGGTTATCAGAATCCCGATGACAATGCTTTTATCATATGAGTCTTTGCAAAGCCCTAAACCAGATCGCAACATGTGCTGGAGCGCAAGTATGCCACAAGTGCACTTCTGACCATATTGCAGCATATTGCAATCAAATGTGACTCATGCATAATCTAATCGAAATCAGACATGCAAGCTCATTTCAAAACCGCACATTGCATGATCGTATGATTGTGACAGCTGCAAATCAGCCAAACGTAACTAGTTACGACGTCGTAACCCTCAGCCTATAACCATATTTCTGGCGCTGTGTATCGCCCACCATTGTGGTGTCTTATGCATGGACTGGGCAGGGCAGATGACACACAGGTGCTGTACTTCTGTTCCCTTCAGCTAGGCTCCTTTCACTGGGGAGCGGCGGCCTGTTCAGAGGCTGGGCTGGGTTCAGGGCTCGGTCAGTACAGTATCTGGGCTGGGTTCAGGGCCCGGTCAGCACAGAGGCTGGGCTGGGTTCACGGTCCGGTCAGCAGGCGGTGACCTGCCGCCGTCTTGAGATAAGGGCGTTCACCAGTTAGTCTGCCGCTGACTCACAGGTGAAAGAGGGAGAGAGAGAGAGAGAGAGAGAGAGAGAGAGAGAGAGAGAGAGAGAGAGAGAGAGAGAGAGAGAGAGAGAGAGAGAGAGAGAGAGGAGGAGGAGGAGGAGAGAGAGAGCGACGCGGGAGATCAGAGGACACACCTTTTCCCGACATTGGATTAACCACACGATAGAGAGGAAAAAGGTCACCGGGGTATCCGACGAATAACGTTTGATTGCAAAGTGGGAGTTTGACGATAAATTATTCCTGTTCGTCCCAGCAATACAATTAAATCATACAAACTGCAAATGTAAACAATGGTATCAGGTAAATGGTACAAACAGGTAAATGCAAACATACAACACATTATCGCAAGTCCCCCGTGCTAGTTATGTGTGACGCTGTTCCTCCGCCGGTGATGCTGTCCTGACTCAGCCAAACAGCCACTGACGGCACCGGTGGAGTCACTGTCCGCTGAGTCGCCCGGCCGGCCGGCTGTCCGCTGTGGTCGGTCGGCGGTTTCGGCCAGCTGCCAGCCTCTGTGGTCAGTGCGGCTCCGCCCGACTGACTCAGAGTTGGGCAACTCTCCCAGCGCCACCCCCACTCCCCCACCTACACTCCTAATCCTGATACCACTCCTACTGCCGGCTGGCTGCACAGCGGCAGCGGAGCGGAGGTATGTATAGGCGCCTTTCCGACAAGCTGAGATGACCAGCACGCAATCTTGTAGGATACGTACGTGAGCACGGAGTGGCAGTTCCTCTATTTCCGTCAGTGGGTGAAATATGATGTGATAGCTACCGGTTTCATCCCATGCCAATTTTAGTAATGGATGAAATACGTTTCTCTCCTAACAAAAAAGTTCAAACCATTATGGATGACTGCGAGCACACATACAAAATTAAGCTGACATTTTAGGTCTAGTTTTAATTGGCTAGCCAGCAACAAAAAAACTGTCTGATTTAGCACTATGGCAAAGCTAACTTGATTTCAGAGCATACCTAGCCTTCGCCTTCAATTCTGATATCGGTCATGTCCACCAGTCTCGAGCCATCATGGATAATCATTTGAATATCACCTAGCGTGGTTAGTGGCACCATACGATCAATGGTTTCGGGCATGGTCGGTATTCAGTAGGACGGTTGTGGCCTCCCGCTACTGATATTGGACTGAGAACTCGGTCATAGAGCTCGGATAAAGCCGTAGGTCAATCAAAACACGCTCAGAAAACATGAAGCAGCAGAGGTATATTTTACTGAAGGTAAGCACTTCAGGTAGCTTGGTGCCGAGGTTGCACTTGTTTTGGGTGCATTCTTTGGGAGGATAGGATGCAATAATGAAACTTCTACGCATCAGTTGCTTTACGAGTGACAGTAAACTCACCCATTCGTTAGCGTTCCTGCGCAGAATATCGATCATGTGCCCAGCATTTTGCTAAAAACAAGACGAATTTCACAAGCCACACTAGCATCAAATATCAATAGAGCTCAACAACCGCAACTGATTACCAGGGTGGCCCAAACTTCACAATCGATTAGCGATCAGCCGAATCATTGTAGGAAAGGTCAGGACTAGGTGCCACTCATGGAATACCGTGGAATAGTTATTTTCCAATCAACGACCGATACATTGGCAAACGAGGTTGTTTCCATTTTATGAAAGATTTCTAATCACTTAGCAACAGTAAACATATGTACAGCATCACCTCAGCAGACGATCTTTTCAGTGAAATTGGTTTCGACTATTTAATTTTTTACCCGATTACGCATAACATGCGCGGTTTGCTACGGATCATTTCTATGAATGTCTCCATTAGCTTCTAAGAATTTACGAAATGCATGCCTCTAAAGATGATTCATTCAAAGGCAGTAAAACAAAAGAGGCCGACAGCGCAGCTCACCGAACAGTCGCGGCTGCGGTGAGGCGCCCTTGACTGACGGCTGGAAACTGGGACAAGGTGGGCCAATGGTGGGCCGTTCCAGAGGCGCGCGCGAACACGGCTACTCACTACAGGGCGCGCTCCGCGCTGCTGCTGACGACGGTGACTCATACCGACGGCGGAACGGGTGGATAGGGTGCTTCCTGTATCAATGAGTAAACAGGTATTCACATGATCAGTGCCGATCCAGGACCAGTGCCGAAAAGCTTAAGAGAAGTCATCAATGCATGCATATAAGCGTCTAAGGGTTAAATAACTCATTTTTTCATCATCCCCAGAGAGGATGTCATGGCTTTTATAAAACATCCAATTTATCCTAATAAAAAATTTTGGCCTTGCACGCCACCTTCTATCAACAAATAACCTGCTTGACATTACAATCCGTGTTTTAATAGCAAAATGATTTTTGGACAAGATTAAACGATAAACATGAGAAAGCCGAAACTGAAAGGTGCCGACTGGTTTGGCCTTTAATCAGCCGCCCTCCACCTTCGACACCCATTATCGTGAATCACGAACTTCGTGACCCAGCAGCGGCGGCATAAAGCCGCTCTGTTCGATACCGGGAGGAAAAGGTGGCTGGAAGGTCCCGTTCTATGCACTCTGAGTCGTTACTGGGTGAGCGACGGAGTGAGGCCTGGATTTGGCGTGATATGGAGAAAGTTTTAATCGCGTTCGCCTGATTCTCAAGAAGCAGGTGAATATGGTTTAGACTTGAGCTGCTATGCTAATCATGTCTTGTAATCTGTGTGTTGTTGATATTGCAGGTTTCTTGGCACTTAGGTCCCGTAAATGCACAACTGAGATGCTAATAAGCATAAATGTTCGCTGTAGGTAATGCCATGAAAACTATCGCATTTGTTCAGTGAAGATATATTTCACATCATGATAACACGTAGGTAGGTAATGAACCTAATAACGGTAATAATTACAACAAGGGTTAGAAAGACAGCCATATTCATCAGTCATCACAAACTGACTAATGCAGCATCCGTATGTTTAGCTCTAACGAAGCGCCTAGCAAACGTCAACAACACAACTTGGGTAACATATCACAACTATGACTCTGCGTTTAGCAATCAGTGCCCTCAGCACCAGGACTCACATCGCCATCGACCAGATAGCACATCTTGAACACCTCCTGCGCATCATTCAGGCCTCTCCAGGGCAGCGCCACGCGTTTGTCCAGGAGGGTCACCAGCCGACCGACCCGGCCCCTGACCTCTGCACTGGCCTCGCCGTGCAGAACCTCGGCCACCGCCTCCTCCAGCTGACCCGCCGCACGTGCCACGTCAGCCGTGTACGCCGCCACGTCCGCCACGTGACCACACGTGGCGACCTCTCCGCCGCACGTGCGGCAGACGGGCCGCGGCGGCCCGCTGGGGATGTCGGGGTACGTGGGAAGGTCGGCCACACACGCCGTACACTGGCAGACGAAGTAGTACTGGCGGGCGAGGCCCCTGCGGCGCTCCTCGCGCGGCATTAGGGCGTAGTGGTAGCCGTAATTGTCGCACAGCTCCTCTCCGCTGGCTAGAGGACGCAGCGCGCGCAGCACTGCAGTCGTGCCGTGGTAGCCGCGGAACACGTTGGGGTCGCACGAGTGGTTGGTGAGGCTGTGCGCCGGCAGCACGGCTGCACCCGTCTGCCGAGTGGTGGCTCCGGCCAGCCCGCCGCCGGGCAGCACCTGTTCCGACACCTCGTGCGCGTTACACGGGTACGTCTGCAGGTGGCGCAGTAGCTCCGCGCTGACCGTCACCAGCGCCCGCTTGGCCGCGCCCGAGATGGTGCTGATGTCGTTACTGGTGATAATGCTGGTGCCGTTGCTATCGCCGTTCATGGTGCCGTTGCTAGTGGTGCTGGTGCCAGCGTTGGTGCTCATCTCTGCCGGCACCAGACTGCTGCCGGTCAGCAGCCGGCCCAGGAGGACGGCCATCAGGGCGCGTTTGAAGAGGTCGGCCGCCGGGCGCGCGGACACGTTCCCCTCCAGGTCACGGACGCGCCGGTAGTCGTCAGAGCGGTACTCTGGGGGCAGTGGGGCGCGGCTCTGCGCCTGACTGGCCACCAGCCGCTGCCAGCCGGCCACCACCACCGAGCGGACCGCCAGCAGCGCCATCTGACCAGCGTCCAGAGCCACCAGGTGGCCGTAGATGGGGCACTCGACCGAGTGGTACTGCTCCCAGGCGGCGGCGCGGCATCGCCGGCTACAGAACCGCACCTGGGAGAGGGGGGAAGGTCAGGTCAGGTCAGTGTCTGAGATTTACCAATGGCGATTAATTGTTTTTTTTTTTAAGACAGAGCCCTTCTCCCACCTCTCCTCCACATAAAGCAGGCAGCCAATAGGCACCATTCTCTCATTTCTGCGCAAAGGAGACAGCCAATCAGAGCAGTTTTCTCAACTCCACGCAGCGCTGACAGCCAATCGTGGCGTTCTCTCACCTCTACGCAGTAAAGTCAGCCAATCAGAGTCGTTTTCTCACCTTTACCCAGTGAAGCCTGCCAATCAGTGTCGTTTTCTCACCTCTACGCAGTGAATTCAGCCAACCGGTGTCGTTTTCTCACCTGTACCCAGTAAAGCCAGCCACTAGAAGTCGTTTGCTCACCTCTACGCAGTGCAGACAGCCAATCAGGGTCGTTTTCTCACCTCTACGCAGTGCAGACAGCCAATAGGCGCCGGTGACCAGCGGCAGCAGTGGTGGCAGTGCTGTTTACTTTCTTCCGGGAGCACCACGGCACAGTACGGCTGCTCAACCATCAGAACCTCCCCTGGTGCACAATATGGGCAAACGGGTGTCACAAAAGCACCTTGCGTTTATATCAATGAAGAAGTAAGGATAAAATATGCCGAAAACTAATAAAACTTTTTGGAGTACCCTTCACCCATAGTTCCATTAAACCCATAGCAAACACAGAACGATGGGTATCTTCATACGCATTAAATGAGAGCAATTTATTTGAGTGTATATCTAACAGATATCATTGCCAGGATACGCGGTTTACCTATATTAATATGTTAAGGCATAGTCTTGGTCAAAAGCATCTACATTGACGTGGCAAGCCATCCTAAACAAGACAAGTCTCGTATTAATCATCAACCGATTTTCAAGCAATGAGACATGCCAATTATTGTCTCTTATGTTCGCTTGTCGTTATTTAAAAGTTTCGTCTCATTCGAACATTCGTCGACTATGAAAACGACTTCCAAGAAGTACGGCAACTCCCATGTTTTTGGTAAACGGTATCCATATCGGTAAACTTTAGACCGATAAATAATTTTGTCCGCTCAACCATAATGCAAAATTGGTAAATAATGACACCCATCTAATGAATACCATACGGATGCGACAAAAATGCGATACAGCCAAAACTACGTATACCAACAAAGTAAACATAAATTATGTATACAAGTGCGACAGAAAAATATACATCAGCGAATGAATATACAACTGGTAGCGACTAAGTTACGGAGAAAGGGGGGGGGCCGGGGGGCAGGGTACAGCCGAAATTCGGGGAGGGTCGGGTAAGCGCTGGGGAGAGTTGGAGGGGGGGGGGGGGGGCAGCCGGGTCAGGGGTACAGCCCAGATGTGGGGGGGGGGGTGATGGGGGAGCGAACCGATACATGACATCCATCAGCTGAAATTGGGTAGATATGGTGAGAAAGGGTGAAACTCAGCATCCCGAGGTATTTACAGTTAACACATATAACACAGCAGTGGGATGAAAAAATAATGATGCCGAAGTAAAGACGCTGGAAGGGAGGCTGAAATCCATAGCTTCAGTTTAAAGGGGAAACAGAGGGAATGAGTAGGAGTCTTTGCAGTGTTGAAGTCGAGAATGCTGTCAAAAGAAGTTGTCCGTTTGATAGCACATACGTGATGCAGGTATACCGACTGCCAAACGCCACATGCCAGCTGTAAAGAGGACCGGCGCGAAGCTCAGTGGGTGGTGCCTCTCGAAACACAGGCCACGGCCATCTGTATAGGTAGGGTCCACAGGTAGGTATGGGAGGGTAGAAAAGTGTGCCGCGGGACGGGGTGAACGGGCTCTTACCTCGGCTTCAAAACACCACTGGGCGCCGGCTGTGGCCCTTGATAGTACGAAACAGAGGGCTGCATGTTATGATTAGAAAGAAAACACATCTGGGCAGTAATCAAGTTAAGGGCAGCGATAGCCAGCTGGGAAGAAAGCACAACTTTGCAACATCAATATTTGCATCACAGACTGGATTCCAGAACAAAGCTTGTGCAGCTGCCCACTAATAAGTCATCTAGCAAACCCAATGATATCCTAGATGATTATCACAATAGCAAGCATCGATTCCAAGCTCGTCAGACTTGGATCACGACTTGGCCACACTATTTATTGCAACATGAGGGGTTGCACCTGAAGAGCCAAAAAGAGACATCGCAGAACACTCTCTCGCTCCTCACAGGCAGGCACGCTGCACGGCGCTGACTCGTGACGCTACCCAACCTCCATCCGCCTACTTCACCCATCTCAGTAACCCTACCGTCCAGGGTCAGCTCCCCCTCCTCAGGTATGCACCGGTTCGCTCACCTGGCGCCACATCCCGAGCGGCCACCAGACAGCGTCCTCGGCCCTCCTTGGTCTGCACTTCCACAGCCTCAGAGGCGGACGGCAGGAGCGGGTTCACCGAGGGCAGCGCCGGGGCAGCCGCACCTCGGAAACGACCTGAGAACAAAATAGCAGCGTGGCGTTTTGGCATTGTGCAAAAGCTAGTGCTCGAGTATTGCATTTCAGTTTGAAGCAGGACAAATGACACCAAGTTAGAGTATTTATAAACTTTAAACATTCGTGACTACATAGATCGGCTCTCGCTGTAAGAGGCCCCCTCACCGGAGACCAGTGTTTCCTCCTGTTCGTCGGTGAGGTCCGGGCTGAGGGTCGGCGTCTCCGGCAGCTCCGCGGAGGGCTCCCGCAGCGCCAGCTCCCGCAGCTTCTCCAGCCGCTGCTCCAGCTTGCTGTGCAGCCGCTGCGGGTAGCCGTGCCGCAGCGCCCGGCTCATATCGGCCAGACACGGCCCCAGGTGTCCCAGGCTGAGCAGCACGGCCGACCGGTTGGCCAGAGCCAGCGGCAGCGCCTCGTCCCCCTCCGGCGCCGCCAGCACGGCCTGCGTGTACAGCTGCAGGGCGGCGCGCTCCTGGCCCCGCCGGCCGTAGGCGGCGTTCCCGGCCGACCTCAGTCGGCCGCTCTCCGCCGGACACTTGAGCCGCGAGGCGCGCTCACGAGATGGCGCGCGCACGCAGTCCAGCGTCAGCAGAAAGCGCACCCGCGACTCGTCCGAGGTCATCGAGTTGAACTCCTTGGTCAGGTTCGTCACCTGGCCCTGCTTGGAGAGCGCCACGCACAGCTCCCGGTACTGGGTTTCGAAATCCATGGCCTCGCCCTCCGCCACTGCGCCGTTGGGCCGACCACTAGCACCCATGGCTGCACCCACACCGCGCGTGACACCCGTGGGACGCTCTCACCGGCGCGGGCGGCAGTGGACTGAGCGGCGGCACAGGTGCGAGGCCCCGCCCACCGGAGCGGCGCACCGCCTGATAGGCGCAGCGCGCCGCCAGCGCCCGGTACAGCGGCTGACAGGGCGGCCGGAGGGATCACCGTCGGCCCGGTACACTCTCTGGCAAACCGTGCATGGTGCAAAACGGCGGATCTGTAAATGGGTGCGGTAGACTGCAGAAATACTGGATAGTGGCATGACACAGGCAATGTGCGAAACAGTAAACACTCGGCACACAACCATGCAATATCATAGAACTAGGCAAATGAGCAAATACATACCAATACACAAAGACACTTTTTTATCCGAATGGCTATGTGAAAGCTTTGCAGCTGCCAAACACGCATGATACATGCATGCATTTTTCTCAAGACGATTAAAAACAATGTGCCTTTGAAGTCAAATTCATTCCAGTTCTTATCACCATAACCACTGATCAGTTTTCCATACCAGAAAAAAGGCGCAGTTAGGTACTTACCTATAGCTATTTTTAATACGGACCCAGCATTTGACTTCATCATTGGTTTGCTTTGCGACTGAAAATGGCTAATGATCAACGCAAAGCTTTAATAATATTGATAAGTAAAAATATTCATTGCTCAGTTTGTGTATTTGAACTTCGATCTCACCAGTCCGGATCGAATAATACACAGTAAGCGTCTGTTCGGATAAACATAACCGAAGACCATGCGTAATTTCACAGCCTGCGAAAAGCATTCACATTGGGCCGCGGCTTGATGCAAAAGGTCTTCCACAAAGGTGAAAGAGCTAGGTTATGGTCAAATATCCAGACAACCAGCAGAGCATACAAATACAATGAAGTCACTAGGCTAATATGATACAATGGAAAGTGAATTGTGAAATGACGTTTATTGTAACAAAGACACAAGTACCTACATCAAAGCTATAAAAACTGTGTTTTTCATCCGGATGCGAGAGCATATCCGGGCGTCATTTATTCTGTGACATAAACCATGACCATCGTTGCTATATTTTGTAAAACGGCATTGATATACCATACGCAACAAGCCTATTGTGTGCGTCTGCCGGTGCATGTCCCCATGACATTCGTTAGTTGTATCTTAGATCTTCTATTTCAATAAAGCACCAGAGACCACCAAGTCTGATGTAACAGCTCCATCGACAGACGATTCGTCGTTCGTGTACTGGCCCAGCGTTAGTTGGTGCACCGACAGACTAGGCGCTGACGATGTTTACTCAAACTAACGGATAGGGAGATACGCGGGCATCGTTTGTTTACAGAAGAGTTATTACAGCACAATCAGCGTATGTGTACTCAGACCGTTTAACGAACATTTTGAATAAGATGTATCTAAACGAACTTGTAGTAAATAAGCTAAGATATGATGTAGCTCAGAGAAAATTATTCGTTATTAGCGGATAATATTAAAAACTGAAAAGTGAAAAGCACGGGCGTATAAATAAACGTTTATCTATACGTCCGTGGTGGAAACGGAGGATTTATTTCCCTGATATAAGAATAAGCCCAGATAAAACAGAAGCTGTCTTCTGCAGTGTAGAACCTCCTGTTTTTCAATTTCCTCGCCCGGCATTTAGATAACTCAACTGAGAAAAAAATAAAGCCACGTGTGCTCCTCGTGGCCTCGCCACACCCCAGTCTGTAGGTAAATATGCACCCGCGGACGCTTCAGTCACCGCTGCGTCGTTGGCGATGAGGCTGGGTCAGCGGCGGCCGGCCACGAGCGTCGCAGCCCCCCCCCCCCTCCCCTCACGTACCCAGAATAGACCCCCGGACGTATTGGGTTGCCTCAGCCGGCGGCGCGGTCACGTGACTGAGAAATTCGGCGGCGGTAGCGGCGGAGGACGGCCGATGGATGACGGTGCCGGGTCTGTGAGCAGTGAGCCGTGCAAGGCGCGCTCGGCTCGCAGTCTGTTAGCCAAGCTGTTGAGTCGTGTTTGTCCTGTGCAGCCAGAGTGACAACTGAATCATCGAACTTTACTGGAATGAAGCTGTGCTGATTGGTGAAAACTGGTGATATTTGAACGTACTTACTTCACTGTTTTGACCACCTGACTGTACGAACAACTGGAGCAGTAGCTACCTGGTTTACATCATGTCTACGGGAGTGGACTTTGAGAGCCTGCTGCGCGGCCTGCACGGCAGTCTGGTCAGCTCCGGCCAGGTGCAGGCGGTCACCGAGCAGTTCTCGGCCCTGGACACGGACATGGAGCGGGTGCAGTTCCTGATGAAGATGCCGGAGAGCGGCCCCCTACAGCAGGTAACCGGCGGCGGACCTCCGCGCTCCGCCGCCGCCTCTGAGCAGCTCCGGGCAGACGGCAACGCCTGCTTCGGGCGCGGCGAGCACACGGCCGCGCTGCGCTTGTACTCGCAGGCGGCCCAGTGCTCGCCTGCCGGCTCCCCACAGCTCAGCCTGGCACTGGCCAACCGATCGGCGGCGCTGTTCCAGCTGGGCAGGTACGGGCCCTGCGAGGAGGCCGTGCAGCAGGCGCTCCAGCACGGCTACCCGCGCGAGATGCGGTACAAGCTGCACGAGCGACTGGGGGAGGCGCGCCGGCGGCAGGGGGACGGCGCCGGCGCCGAGAGGGCCTTCTGCGCGGCACTGGCCGCCGCCAGGAGCGCGCCGCTGGACGCCCGGAGAAGGAAGCAGCTGCTAGTGAGGCTCGATGGCCTGGTGTGCCGCAGCGCAGCGGATCGCGTCAAGAGACTGCTGGAGACGGGACAGGAGGGGGAGCTGCAACCGGAGCAGACGGAACATTCAGACCAGAATCGAGAGCGGGAGAGGACGCAGAAGCAAGGAGAGCAGACAGAGCAGAGGAAGGATGAGCAGAAGCAGAGCAGCGGGACGAAGAGACGCCGGGAGGAGAGGAAGAGCCCGTCGCCCTCAGTGCCGCAGCTGCCGCCGCTCTCCCATGGTCCGAGCGAGGTCGTACCGGCCGCGTCAGCTGCGGTGGACCTGGTGGTGACACAGGAGAAGGGCAGGATGCTGGTGGCCAACCGCGACCTCTCACCAGGTCAGTCAGTGACCTCTCACCAGGTCAGTCAGTGACCTCTCACCAGGTCAGGAGCTAATTGGATATCATTGGGAAGGTTACAACATCTCGTTGTTTCACGTGTTTTACACTTTGCAATATGGTAAACAACAAAGTTTAGTGTATGCATGAGATTATCAGTGTGGCTGTCCACACTGTTCCTACACTTCGTCTCCTCGTAGCCGTCTTCTTAACCTCGCAAGCCGTGACCTTGCCACCGCATTGCAGCAGCGCGCAGATTAGTTAGACGTTCACGCTCACATGTCTACGTCCGTTTTCGGTTGCTCTCTGTGATAGTCTTCTAGTTAGCATTAGATGTTTTAATAAGCTCATATTCCTAAATCCTAACAGCACGTTTTAGCGTCTCCAAAAACATTACAATTTTTTTGAAAATCTATATAAAATTTGTTTACTTTTACATTTGAAAACTTCAGCTTGCAAAAAGCACCTGACATGCAATAAAAACGCTAAGCCGTAAAGTTTTTAAGTTCCATCATTACTAAAGTATTGCTTTATTATTGAAAAAATATCAACATGTATGTTATCTAGGACGTCTCCTCCATCCCCCAGAAAGACAACATTAGCCAGAAGTAGCTTGTCTAGAAACTACCTGATGGATTGGCAAAATAGTAGGTGATACTAATTTGGATATGCAATGATTGGTTAACAGAAAAATGCAAATATTTTCCTAACCTAATGTATATAAATGTTCTAAGCTATTTCTATATATCTTGTTGCCATTCGTATTCGACATTCCTCGGTGAATTTCGGGGAAATACTCAAAATACATTGTGATAAAACGCAGAAAATACATCCGCTGCTACTAAGGAAAAAAACTTGCCATTGTCTGCACGGAATATGTTATTCGTTAATTAACATTGTGATATAGGCCTATACTACTTATCACACTGGTAGGCAATATCAGTGTATCTACTTTGTGCATGAACAATGCTAACACGTATCGGATTTGTTCAAACTGCATACTTATCTCTAAGCGTGACGGCCATATGTCAGCTGCCGTATTTGCAAATTAGTGCTGCGTCTCGTCTTTTCAATAAAGGGACTTTTACATGCTACCAATGCCTCCCTTTCATCTGACACCTCATGTTTTCGTTTCCAGCAACTGTCAGGAGCGAAAGGAGGGTACCTGCCGGCAGGTGCTCATAGCTTCTACGAGCTTGGCACACTAGCCGTTGGAGGTATCGAGTATCATCGCCGAATTTCACCCCCCCCCCGACAACCCCTCGCGCCCTGACCATGCATTCCCAATGTGACCCTGACCTGACCGCCAATGCAGTAGCCCCGTGCCGAAGCCTGAAGGTGTTCTGAAAGCCCTCTCCCATCCCGCAATATGTCCCGCAATGCTTCATTTTCAGGTGGAACAAAGGCATGTAGGTACCGTGTTTTAGCTTGGTCATGCATTATGAGCCCTTCATCAATGTATTTTTGCTCACCAGATCACTTTCCTGATTTTTTTTTGACCTGAGTGTATCACCCTCGTAGCAATAAATGGGCCATTTGCCGATACATTAAGCTTGAAAATTGTTTCCGTTAATTATTCCTTTCGGTACACTTTCATTCAAAGTATACCTAATGCACTGTTGGCTCGCTTTTTGTGTGTGCGCCTACAGATATAGGAATTCCACGATTAATGTTATTTAGCATTTGATAAGACAGACACAATTTATTTGGCATCTTTTACTACCACAACTCCACAGCCCCTAATTTGTGCTCCCCACCCCTCTTCCCTATTCGCCAGTGGGCCGTGGCCGTGGCCTCAGCCAGCTCCCCATTACAGAGTTCCAGGTCGGGCCACACGTCGACTGCCCGTCTGTCCCCCCCCCCCCCCCCGCCATGCCGCTCCCTCCCACCCCACTGTGTATATCCCCGCTCTCTGCTGCTGTCTCTGGCTGACCTCAGCCGGACCGTGCGGTGACCTGAGGTGACCTCTCCGCGGCCGTGTCTGCAGGCGATGTTG